AACTTGGATCACCGATGTGGACATTGTGTACGTGCCAATGATATGGCTGTCGAAGCATTGGGTGGGGCTTGTGATTGACCTGAAGATACAATGGGTGCATATACTTGACCCAAATCCCATATGGAAAGATGACAGCATGTTGATAAAATCATGGGCCCTGTACTTGAGTTCCTGCCGCATATCATCCGCAACCTTTGCCCATCACACCCTTCTCAACCCGCAGATCCATCGCCGTATACGTGGCATAGGGTGCGGGATGTGTACGTCAATAAGAGAAGCAGGGACTGCGGTCCAGTTGCAATAAAGTTTATGGAAATGCACGCGCTTGGGGACCCTGCGCCACTATGAGTGGAATAACAGACGAGCTGGTTGATGATTTTCAGAGGCAATACGCTATGGACCTGTACAAGGAGTTGGTGCTTCTGCTGTACGAAGAAGGTAGTTGACTGGGGATAATGTTGTATGTGTTTGTGTATTTTGTAAGACAATGATTTAATGGGGCATGTGGCTGCCTATTTAGAACTTAAAGGCGAGTAATTTTTTGTTACCTCGACAGGCTTTCACCGTTGATGGTTAGTAGTGGCCACAGATGTAGGTGTTGTTTTGAAGAACTTATGAGCCATCTATTTTTGTTCACGGCCAGTAGCATTGGTCGTGGGTTATTGTATATGGCTAAGGAAAAAGCTGATTGTAATGTTACATTAATTAAGTTAGGAGCTGTTGCTATTTTTTCTTTGTTTATTTTGGGAAATATGTTTATTGGTATAGTCTGTAACAGGGGTAATATGGACGTATTTAGTTGGTGGGATAATTGTGGATGGTTAATTGTAGGAAGCCATATCGACCACCCACGAGGAATTTGTAGATGCGAATATGTGGTTGCGAATTTGTGGATGCGAATATGTGGATGCGAATTTGTGGATGCGAATATGTGGATGCAAATATGTGAATGCATAAGAGTGGAGAACCAATACTCATTCGTTTTGGATGACGCATTGTTGATGATACGTTGTTCATGGCATGTAGACGATGCTTCTTGTGAACCAATACACATTCGTTAGGAGTCGAAGCTTCTTAGTCAACGAATGTTAGTTGATGTATGCTAGTGAAAGTGTATTTGTGGATGGACAGAATACGATGCATGTTAGGAGATGGATGTTAGGGGATGGATGAAAATCGCAGGATGTTAGGGGCGTATGAAACTGGAAGGATGATATTGTATGGTGGACATGTGATTGACGAGACGATAAAATTGGTGGATGAGCGTATGGACGTGAAATTATCTAGCACGAAATAATTGTAGAACATAAATAGACACATAAGTGTAGACATTGTCTAGCACGAAATTGTGGACACATAAAGATGGATGGACAAAGAAAGATGTGAACATTATCTAGCGCGCAATAATCATGGATAGTGCATACATCTAAGACGGCTTAAACTATCGAAAAATATCCTCGGATTAAAAGGGGGTCATTTATCCTGTTTACTTAGAGAACCATCCGATTAACCCTCCCAAGAGCGGGGATATAACAGCTACCAATAACAATGTTGGGTCGTTGATGTGCTTTGGAAAATTCAATTTTAAAGAGGATTGAAGAGGGTTTGTTCGGGCTTTATGAACTTCTATCTCACCGAGTACCTTGTCGAGATTGCTGTGCATTTCTTCAACTTGTAGTGAATCTGATAGGAAAACCTTGATCTGGTCCGCTGCTTGGATTTCAGTGCGTTTACTTGCAGACAGAGCCGCAGTGACAAACTTCAGATCATTGATCTCCTTATTTATAGCTTTGTCCCACCACTTCCACTTGTGACAACCACCATCCTGACATATCGGGTGGTCAGGTTTGACATGCGCGTGATATATGCGGAATTGAAGGTGGTTTATTGGCTTACCGCAAAGTTTTGGCATGAATAGTATCTCCTATTGGGATTAGTTATAGTATGATCCGTTTGAATTAAGACCATGCCTCCACAGAAGCACCGAGATGGTATGCCGTGATGGCGACCGCTTGAGCTAATACTAGTCCTGGATGAAGAACTCAAAGCGTAGCTGAAAGGCATCGTTGCGAGCAACATTGTACTGAGGACAATAACTAGAAGGGTTGGATTTAGTCTAATGAAAGATGTAATGAGAAAATACCCTTGTATAGAATGATGAATTGGATGGCGGCGAGGAGAAGATGATGAAAATTAGTAGGCTCCTAATATGAAGCCCTAGTTGTCAAAATGTGAAACACACCGTTTGTACTTTTCATGAAAATGAACTCACTGTCATTGCTCTGACTTGGGTGGATGACTGTGAATGGGACAGTATGGATGATGCAGAATAGATGGCACAGTATTGATGGGCCGGTATGGATGGGGCAGTATGGATGGGGCAATATGGATGGGATACTATGAATGACGAATGATGTATGAAGCGAAACTTTATGAGATTGTTTATAAGATGTGTGGGTGTGGTTATGTGGGCAATAAGAAAATTGTAGGCGAAATGACGATCGTGGTGAAAGGGAATATTACAACATTTTTGATGTGTTGAAAACATAGTAAAAAGAAATGCTTAAAGGTGTAAGAAGCAAACTAAGTCTTTAGAGTAGTTAAAAGTTCTTTTGCTTAACACACCTACCTGATGGATGTAGATTAGTGGACATGTAAATATGCCTTACTATCAAAATAGGTCAAAACATACGGGATGCGACAAAAAGGTACCAAAGAAGGCGATGGTTTTTGAGGTATCCTTCAACAAAAAAGTGGGTGGATACAAGCAAAACCAAGCTCATAATGGGTTGGAACATCTGGTGCGATTATGCCCCGGTTGTTGGCAACATCCACACTTATTCAGCACAGTTTTCTTGTTCCTCGCGGCTTACATAATAGGAAGCACATGATCGATTTGCAATCTCGTCCATGTCTCGGCATCTATAAACAAATGTACAAAGGGAACGTTCGAATATAGTGGACAGACTTACTGGAAACTCTCTCACGGATGCGTGACGGTTTTCTTTGGGTCTACCAGAGGGTCTTCTAGTTCTCAGCGGCATTAATACCATCTTGGCAACGGAGTCAGGGATTTCTTGGTCTGCGGCTTCGCCTGCGGGGATGATAGTGCCAGTGTATGTGGCAGCCCATGTGGCCATTTTTAACGCATCTCCAACCAACGAAATGGGGGACAATCCAAAAGTGTCCGCCGCCAGTAACGCGTGACCGCAAGGAATCTTCAGGCAATCGAATTTTCTTACACGAGCATCGCTTCTCATGCAACCAAACATGATTGGTGTCACCCAAACGGAAACAACTTAACAGCTCCAGCTGGATACAGCGGTGATCTTGCTCCCTTTGGAATCTTTCATCTGCTATGTTATTACCTTGTCCACCTCTAGGGGTACATTACCTCGATGCCTCAGTGACTTCTTCTTACGATCAGCAAACCACCTAGTCATCATCTCCTGGATGAATTGGATGACTTCAACAATCGGGGAACCCCTTCTCTCGATCAATGCATTGTTGAGTTGTTCTACCGCGTTGCTAGTCATTAGATTGTACCACTGGCCCTGGAAATATGCTCGTGACCAATGGGCAATGCCAATTTTCTCCAAGTACAGCGCACATTCACTTTTACTGGCTCTGACCTGGTTGAAGAACTTCCTGAAATCACAGATCCTCCAAGCGAATGCTGCCTGCCCAACGAGTTTCCCTAATCCTTTGCCGTGGAATCGGGTAGAGATGTTTCGCTCCAGATGAACTATACAGGCACCGTGTTTTGCTAGAGGGTAGGCCCGTGACTTGGCTTTGTATATCAACTGATGTCTATCCGATATTATTGTGAGATTGGGATTGTCGGCCAGAATTTTTTCCAGATTTTAAAGGAACCATGTCCATGACTCGACGTTCTCTGAATCTACAACCCGAAACGCGAGAGAAAAGACCCGGAAATTAGCGTCTTGGCCACAGGCGGTAAGAAGAACTCCCTGCAATTTGTCAGTCAGATGAGTCTCGTCTATGACAATGACATGCCTGAGTTTATGAAAACCAAAAATGGAGGCACCAAAAGCAAGAAAAAGATACTGGAAACGCTCAACTTCATACTCATCAACTAAGGTCTTCAAATTCACTACTGAGCCTGAATTCGCCAATTTTAGCATATATAGATACTTTGGAAGGGCAGTATAGGACACATCATCAGAACCCCTGATTTCGGTAATGGCTATTTCCTTGGCGCGGTGACATTTCATGTAGGAAACAAAGCAAAAAATCTCTTCGAGCACCAGTCTCTGAAGCTCCGATTCTCGGGGTCCATTAGCATGATCGCCGAATTTGGCTTTGAAAACTGCAGCTATAACTCTTGATGAAACCTTTTTCTTAAAGGCATTTCGAGTTTCAACGCAACAGGTATGTTCCAGCCGGGCCTTCCTGATTTCGTAGTATCCACAGTCTTTCATCTCGTGGGCCATAACCCTCCAATCGCACCGTTCGTCAACGCACTTCACCACAAAATAATGTCTTTTTGTGGGGTCTTGTTTATACTGAAACTGTCCCTTGATTGCATACAAGGCGAGGGCAATCCTACAGTCCGATTTGCTAGCATAGATCTTACCTTCATGGACTTCTGCTTCCCCCTCCCCTGCACTTTGATCAGGGATTTCTGCAGAGTGGTAAGCTGTGTCGTCAAACATAGGCGGAATATCGAACTCGTCATCAACCACATCCTTTAGCATTGTTGTACGTCCAACTGGTCTGCCATCCACAACTTTCGGGACACCATGCCCCGTCCACGTGGATCCATTGATGACTGTCTCGACCTTTGGATAAGCATCGACGTGGGTGCCCTCGGGGACGACTTTGTGGTCGAAAGCATCATTTGTTGTACAGAACTACTCTACCTTCATGTCGTTCTTGATTTTCTTCCCATTAAGGTTGTCGTGCTCAGGACAGAGTACATCGAAGGCATTGGTTCCGACAAGCGGATCGTCAATGATGTGCTCCCAAAACTCTTTGTCTTAGCCAGCTTTCCGAACTTCGACATCAGGTGGAACCTCACGGAAATTGTCTTCAGTGTCTGACAGTATTGTCTCTTTGCTACTGCATCTGCTCTGTTTACGGGTGCTGCCCTCTGCCCACTTAGCCTCCGCTTCTTGGATGTGGCTAAGAATATCTTCATCTTTGCAGTATACAGGCAGGTTCTTTGACCCAACAGATGAATCGTAACCACCGAACTCTTCGAACCCAGAACCACTCCTTGTTGGCTCGTTCTGATTTTGGAAGATATTTTGCCTCTTCTTCGGTTGAGCTGGTGTGATGTAATCGTTATCTTTACTTAGGTCTGCCCTCAGCCCATCGCTTCCAGCATCGGAAGAGAAAGACACAAACATGTTCATTCTCCTTTCTGCGCGGAGGTGTTTGAAAAAGAAGCTTATGGCCCCTGTATTTGTAACCAGCACCGGCGGTGTAGTTTTCCCGGTTGCCAGCTCCATGTTGTTTAGTGGCCAATAACTGAGGGAAGGGGAAATGGCGACGACTCCCTCGCCGTAGAATTCTCTGAGAACGCTTTCTTTTAACTCAATCAAACCCATATGCTCACTCAATTGGACTACTCTCGACATCATCTGCTTGTCAATAATGAAATCCCACTTTCTGTCATCTCCACTAATCCATTTGCCGCACATGACCAAGCAATGTTCATCCATCTGGATGGATTTTTTGGCAGGTAAAAACTGAGAGCCGACGGTTTTTGGGGGTACATTTACGAGGACGTACTAAAGTATGGCTGTTTACCCTAGCCACGGCACGAATGCCCATGGCACAAAAATCTATCAAGGAGATCGCCACCGTCGGATGGAGTTCAAATTTAACAAAAAGGGAGATCGGGTGGATGAGATTTGAAGTTACCCAAAATAGTCTACTGACCGCGGGTTATTAAGATGCATTATCTATCAAAGTTTGAGTTTTATGGGAACCCAAGCTTGAAATCCGTGGATGTGCTTTGGTGGTAATTCATCCATAAAACTACGACCATGTATTTGGTGTGCACGGCCTGTTTTCCCTAGCGACGGCGCGAATGCACATGGCACGAAAATCCACGAAAAAGATCACCACCGTCGGATGCAGTTCAGGTTTACCTAAAAGGAATACCAGGTGGACGAGATTTAAAGTTACCCGGAATAGTCTACTGACCGTGGGTTATTAAGATGCATTAACTTTGAAAGATTTATTTTTATGGGAACCAAGCTCGAAATCCGTGGATGTGTTTGTAGGATAGTCATCCATAAAACTACAACCATGACTATGTGATAGTATTCGATGTAGATCCAGAAGTACAATATACGAGTTGGATCAGATGGTCGACATGTTACATTTTATATGAAGTGTATATTTCTATGGATAATGGGAGCTATTTGTGGATGAGTAGAATATGATTTGGGGATGACAATATACAGTGTCCACCTTTCTATTTATTACTGGTTATGATGAGTATGATGAATTTTATGCATCCATATTATGTTATCTAGTACATCCATTACGGGCGTCTGGTGTGGATATGCTGAGAGCGAGTAATCATCCCTGAGCAGATTATGGGGGGGGGGGGGGGGGGGGGGGGGGGGGGGGGGGGGGGGGGGGGGGAAGGGTAAACAGATTGTCGGGAGTAAAGATGAGGGTGGTGGCTGGTGTGAGAATTACCTCTCCCCACAAATGTCTCTCCCTGTAGTTGTCTCTTGTGAAAAAGGATTACGGGAATTGGGATTGAGTATCAGACAAATACCGTCAACTGGAATCTATGGCGGTCGGTGTGTGGAGTACCAAAATAAAAACCTAAAGGAGAAGAGAAATTTTAATAGTGGAGAAGATCGGCCGAGATGGTATGTGAGTTGGTAAATACGTAAATGGGTGAGTGTGTGTTCAATGGGAGAATGGGGTTAATGGCGGTGGCTAGGTCTAGAAGGAGGGGGAGGCATGTGATTTGTATAATTCTGTGGTAAACAGAAGTAAGATAAAAAGTAAATTTATCGATTCAGGTGAGAAAATTGGTTGAGGGTAGTTTGGAGAAATCACAAATTTAGAAACCAATGAAGCTAGAGAGAAAGTACCCCAGTTGAGGGAAGTATCTTTTCATGTAATAATAGTTTGGTGCTCTAAACTGTAATATTCTCCCTCTGAATTCTATATATTGGCCAACAGAAAATAAAATATGTATGTATTTTTGACACATTTTATTAGTTATTATTAACATTAACTTTATTTTTTTTCCTTACAAATTTAAAATAACTTTTAAACTATTTTTAAATAAAATTGTGTATGTAACAGGTTTTGTTTAAGAAAATATTTTGACCCATTTTAAAATTTTGTTTTAACTTTATTAGTAACATTTTGGACTAGTGTTTTATTTTGAAGCTAAAACCAAAATTTTGTGTCTAACATTTTAAAACATTCGAGAAGTTTTTTTTTTTATTATTTCAATAGCAATACATGCAAACATAATTTTTTTTTTCTCAAATTGGATACTTTCAAATTCTAAATTTTGCGATTGAGATTTTCTTTCGATCTTTAGCTTCGATTCTTTGCTTAAAAAATTGGTAATTCTTCACGATTTGTATTCAAAAAACTTCTATAGAACCTGGTATATTACTGTTAATCATTTGAGAAGAAGAAAACACGAAAACCGTTTAGAATCATCTATATACAATTAAAGATTACAATACATAAAACTAAGATATGCGATTCTGAACATTGTATAAAGAGTACTTCTATTAAGACACATGTGAACACCTGTGATTTTTGTTTTAGTTCTCAATCAATATTTATATAAATTCTTTTAAGGAATAACTGAAGCAATATGTTAAAAAAAACAAAAAAAACTCAAGCAGATTTATATTCGTAAATTATGTGGTTTTGCAATTAATTTGTTTTATATTCAATCGATATAACATCATGTATAACATCAGAAAATAATATATAACCATGTGATTCCTAAAATTTTCAACTTGTATCTATGAAATCTTGTAATATATTTCCTAAAATCCTATTCTATATAAATATTTTTTTTCTTTATCTTGTATTTATAAGATTAAAATTCAAAATCAATAAATCAGTACATCCTATTAAAAACTACTAAGCTTATTACAATAAAATCCAATATAAACTCATATCATTTTGTGTATTTATAATTAGATGCTATTACCTATACTGAATTAATGAATTGTTTAACAAATGCAATAGCATATTTAGTAAATATCATCGTAGCTTTTAGATATTTTAAAATAATGCTTCTTTTTTAATAGAATAGATATGAACTAAATCAAAATTAATCTTCTCGTAATAATAGTTTCGTGACTAGATTTACGGCTCTCGTTGCCGTATACATGCTTAGCTCACACATCCTTCACACCAAAACCTCCTTTCTTCTAACTACTTATAAGAGTAATTAAACCAGAGTGTGCTCACAAAATCAAAAACAGAAACAGAAGCAGAAAAAATATGGCAAGCTCCAAGTTTATTGGTTTCTTGGCATTGTTCTTTACCTGCTTAGCTCTCGCTAATTCAGCCCCCTTTGGAAGCAAACCATGGGAACAAAGTAAGTTTATAATCCAGTTCATCTTAATTTATACCCTCTCGTAATATCTATAAACATAGAATATGTAGATCGTCTTTGTTCTTTAATACATTTTATGGTTAGTCTAGTTACATCTATGTACTATGTCTCATACATTTAGTGTATAGTCTGATGCTTACATACATATCATATATAAACAGCTAAAATGGTGAATCCCAATGATGATACCGCTGCGAAAGAGCCGGAGGGTGGAGGATACACAGGTTGGTGCAGGAACGGTTGCTGCTATGCAGGAAGCAATGGCTGCCTCCGCTGCTGTCGTTACGCCAATGAGGCAACTAACAGTGTGGGGATGCAGAAACACAGCCGCAGCCAAGTCGCAGAGAAATTGCCTATGGAAGAGGAAGCTTCTTGGATTCGGGCTCAGAGCCGACCCTGAAAAAGGGAGCTAAACCATGGACATGTGAAAAAGGGAGTTCTATATAAATATGTTTCTAAAATTAAGCGTAAAGGATACTTGTCTCTATGGTATTTGAATTCGAGTTTTAATCATTCGATGCATATACGTATGAATAATGCGATATTTTACATCGATAAATCATATTTTAAGATTGGATGATCGATCTTAAAAAATGCAACATAATAATTGAATGGCACGCATGATTAATTTGATGGTTTAGTCATGTAGGATTCACAGCTGAACTAAGATCTTGCTTTGAAGATAAAAAAAAAAAATCGTTACATGAGCCAATATTTCACTAAATGATGTAATCAATTAGCATTCCACAAACAAGAGGAATTATGGAGCGTCACCAATATGGATATATCAGAATGGCTCACTGGGGCACTGGATTCTTCATCTTAATGATTACTTTTCTTATAAAAAATATTATTTATTACTTCACGGTAAGTTATATATCCAATATTAGAACTCTGGAAAAACTAGAAATAGACGGATTTGTTGATGCAAGCTTGTCAACATGGTCAGTGTGGAATTTTTGCTGCTAATGAAAGGATTTGATCAACCCTCAACATGTGATTCTTCTAACAAATTTTTATTATAAAAGGCCATGGATTGATCTATTAATTGTGTTTGGGTTTTAGATTCACATATCAGATTAGCTTAACGAAGGTATATCTTAGTCTTACTAAACAAATTAAAAAGGTAATCATGCAATCAAGAGAATAACCATATGTTTCAAATTAAATGGAGTCAATGAACACATATCAAGGTTCTATATATATGCCAACCATTTACAACTCAAAACTACAATGATCCACTTATTCAGGGAGATTGAAAATCTGTGAATATGTTTTATTCTGAAAATGTTCTCGGTATTGGTTCCTTTAAATGTGATGAGCCTTTTGTTCAAAGGTCCTAGTAGAGTAAACTTTGTGCAAACTTTGCACAAAAAGGCAACCAATACCAATATGTGGGGGTAGTTTTAGGAACAAAGAAGCTTGAATAGTTTCAGCAGAGAAGGACATCTGAAGAGATTCTGTGGGAGTTTAAAACAATCCAATTATATGAAGATGAGCTGGTGATCCAATGATCAGTGAATATGCAGTAGTTGGCTTGATTAGCTCCACAGAGAAATGAGCTGCCCAAAAAACATCAGGTTCTCTCTTGCGCAGAAGAACCATGAGTGAATATGGCTCAGCAATGTAGCATCTATTCAAGATGAAATGGTGGCAGGAAGATAGGAACTGAATCTGTTTGAAAATGGAATATTTAGTGAAAAACAACAACATTAGAAGAAGTAATGCACAACAAACAATCCAAAAAAAGAAGTGTTCATATATATATATATACCTTCTTTTAAGGTGATAGAGATAATTCTCTTCATCTCAAACAGATCTGTTCTCTTAGTGAGAGAGAGAAAAGCAGAAATCTGTGTAGATCAGTGATAGAGAGCAGAAGCTAAGTAACCAGATCGATACAAGAACTCGAGGAGAACTCGTAAACGAAATGGGATCGTGTCTTAACGATTAATACTACTCCTCTTAGTGCTTGTTAAAGCTCTTAAGTTTTATTAAAAATCAAATCAAGGGTGTCTTTACAAAGCCCTAGAACATCCCTTTTATATTTAAGAATGAAGATATGCTTAAATCTCTAGATCCTAATCAATAAAGAATTCATAATTCTTAAAGTAAAAGAAAACCGAAAACAAAGTGTAAATAAAAAAGTATTGTCAAACACGTAAAAAACCCTAAACGTGTTAGAGTAAAGATATAATCATTGATATATGCGCTGCATCAATCTGGAAAAGAAAAACAAAGAATAAGAGAGTCATAGCTTTTGACAGGTGCATCCACAAAGAATGAATCACGTTTTGAAGTTAACATTTTGTATATATTCATTCCTAATATGCAATGTACAGGAAATATGGCCCATTTCAACTTGTAAGGGAAAGATCAGCGTTTTGGAGTATGACAGAGAGACACGTTAACAAAACCTGTAATGAGATTTTGAAGCTCTGAAATACTTTTAAGACAAAAAAAGAAGAAGAAAGCTCTTCCGTATCGTTCTTTTTAATTCCTTAATTAAGGGAAGTTTTGCTCATTTATTACGATGTTGGGGATATCAAATGTACTACACACCAAACAAATTCCTTCTTAACATATGGCCTTGCATCTTAGGGTCAATATGTACCCTGAAACAGCACTATTTTCACTTGTTCTTGGGAGGGAGAACTTTGACAATTGCTCTCATTCCTCAATCTCAAATATAGCTTTATATGGATCATTATTTGAGATTGAGGAATGAGAGCAATTGTCAGAGTTTGAGAGAGACTACGCTGTAAATGATGTCATGGTTTCACTTTCACCGAATATAAACCATCTTTAATATGATGGATTCTCCACACCACAGATCGATGATAGTGGGAGCCCATCTCAACTGAATAATGAGTTGGTAATCTCTAATCCACCAGTATTGGCTGATCCTCCTACGAAGAGAGTTGACCCTCCTGCTGTTCGAAGAGGACAAAGAGAAAAGAAACAATCTACGCGTCTTAAAGGTTTCGTGTTATACACGACACGCTGCGATCAAGACCCCCCCACACTCGCTCACGCATCGTTGTCATCATCGTCCTCTGATACAGGTACGGTCCAATATTCGATATCCCACTACGTAAACTGTGACAAATTCTCTTCGTCTCATAGAGCGTTTCTCGCGGCTATTACTGCTGAGTCGGAGCCTACTTCGTTTCGTGAAGCTATGAAGGATGAAAAGTGGCGACATGCAGTCAAGGGTGAAGTGAATGCCCTTGAAGCTCAGAGGACATGGGACATTACAGACCTTCCCCCGGACAAATGCGCGATTGGCTGTCGTTGGGTTTTTACGATCAAGTATAAGTTTCTGGTGAGGTTGAGCGATATAAAGCAAGATTAGTGGCATATGGTAATCGGCAAGAAGAAGGGTTAGACTATGATGAAACGTTTGCCCCGGTGGTGAAGATGACTACGGTTCGAATGTTTCTCAAAGTTGCGGCTTTCAAAGAATGGAAGGTTCACCAGATGGATGTTCATAACACGGATGTTCATAACACGTTCCTGCATGGTGAACTTGAGGAGGAGGCATATATGAAGTTACCTCCAGGTTTTGAAACCACAGATAAATCGAAGGTATGTAGGTTGAGAAAATCATTGTATGGACTTCGCCAAGCGCCACGATGTTGGTTCTCGAAACTCTCGGCTGCACTAAAGGGTTATGGTTTTGTTCAAAAGAAAAGAAACCGGATTACTCATTGTTTACTCTCGTTCGTGGTTCCATGTGATTATATGTTCTCATATATGTGGATGATCTATTGATTGGTGGCAATGATCCTGGTGCAATTGCGAAGTTCAAAGGATATCTAAGCCAATGCTTTAAAATGAAAGATTTGGGCAACCTAAAATAATTTCTTGGAATCGAGGTGTCACGGTCGGAGGAAGGGATTTATTTGTCGCAACGGAAATATGCTTTGGATATTGTTTGGGAATGCGGCTTGTTGGGTAGTAAACCGGTTACTACTCCAATGGAACAAAACCACAAGTTGGCGACTGATGAAGGGGATTTCTTTCACGATCCAGAAAGGTATAGAAGATTAGTTGGTCGCTTGGTGTATCTTACATTCACTCGTCCCGAATTAGCTTACACTGTGCATATGCTGGCTCAATTTATGAAGAATCCCCGTGTTAAACATTGGGATGCAGTTGTACAGGTAGTGCGATATCTTAAGGGATGTCCGGGCCAAGGAATATTGTTGAGTTCGAAGTCAGACTACAAATTACAGCATTTTGTGATTCCGACTGGGCAGCATGTCCGATGACTCGTAAATCACTTACGGGTTTTATTGTGATGTTGGGAAGCTCTCCGATTGCATGGAAGACGAAGAAACCATACACAGTTTCGTGTTCATCAGCTGAGGCAGAATATAGAGCTATGGGCTTTACTACAAGGGAGTTGAAGTGGAATCATGAACTCCTAAGGTGTTTTGGCATAGATCACAAGCAGCCCATACACCTCCATTGTGATAACAAAACAGCTCTACACATCGCTGCAAAACACATTGAATCGGATTGTCACTTTGTCTGAGATGAAATACAGAATGGCTTTCTTACTACCTCTCACGTTTGTACTACGGAGCAGTAGGCGGATATATTTACAAAAGCGTTGGGGTCTTAACAATTTACTTATCTGAGACACAAGTTGGGCATGCTCGAACTTGAGGAAGAGTATTAGAGAAATATGTAAATATATTAGAGGAGATTCTATATATCGTATAAGTTAATATTCCTTTATTATAGATATCATATCTAGGGCGACCATATCTTATGTATGTGTATATAACTCTCTTCGGATGGAATAAGGACAGAATATTCTCTTTACCCCTTTGACAGATACGTGGCATAGTATCCAATGCGTTTCTGTTACTACTTAGTATCATCTTAATCTATCAACTAATTGAGCATTTTTGTTCTAGCCTTTTCCATGGATTAAGAAGGATTTTCAGTTCCAATTCATGCAAACTTAGTTACACTTATATATATATATATATATATAACATTTATATATTTGATTGTCAGTATATATTTTTGATACAATAACATTTATATATTAAATTGTCAGTATTTTGGAAATTTAAACTAATTTGTTTGAGTTTTGTTGATTTAACTAATTTGTTTATTATATTTTCGACGTTTAAGTACAAATATATTGACTTAACAGTCCTCTTATGATATAAGAGGCGGAACTTTTTGTTGGTCTAATTAAAGAAGAAAAATCAATTTTGTGGGGAAGAGAACGAAAAATACAGTGGGCAGTGTAGGAAATTTTGCGGGAGGAAAGAGCAAAACCCTAGTACGATTTATCGTTTGCTAGGAGAAGAAGAAGACGATGCCTAGATTCCGGTGTGCTGAATTACACAAAGTCAGGTGATTCCTTTCATTTTTCTTTCAGTTCCTGTGA